GCACCAATGGCCAAGTCCAAGCTTTGGACTCAAGTGGAAAAACTATGTCACACACATCTTTCGGCCTTACGGGCGATCGGCACATAGAAAGAGCGCGCTGGAGGACACACCCGAGACTGTTGTACCAAGCCGCAACTTTGGGGGAGCCACAATTTGAAATATGATATGAGGGTTGCTAGGCACAAGGGAACCTCAGAGCAATCAAACCGGCCATCGTCAAGATATCAGATAGCACCAAACATTGGCCCTTGAAGGAGTCTACTCCAATGTAAAGAATCAAACGGGCGGCTGCGGACTCGCCGACTTCAACTCCTTGGGCTAAATCACCCCGCAACTCCCCTGGTATTTGAGAAGTCAAGGGAAGGAAGCGTCAAATCAGGTGCTCCGAAAGGTTTCTCTGACGAAAAAAGGCGACGGTTTCTGGCGCTTCCTTTTTTGGTACAAGGTTCGAGCTTCTGGGCCTTAACCATCCGGCATGTGTCCCTGGAAAAGAGAAATGGCCAACAATGATCTGTTGCGTGGCTCAAGGGCTACGCAAGGGGCACACGCCGGCGATGGCTCTTCACATGGGGAGCAGACAACGCTGGGCAAAACACTCTGGAACTGTTGAAAGACAAAGCAAACGGTGTGCGAATGTTCTACTCTTTTTTGTTGAATGGAGTTTCAGGGATACGTCAGGGATACATCATGGTGACTATTGCTAGGCACATGGCGAACCTCAGCCAGATATGGGGAGCCTTTGTTGGAGCAATGGAGCAAACATGGGCACAAGTGGCCTTGTGTCAAGCAGTGATTCTTGCTCTCCCGGAGCTGGTGTCTCAATTCAACATTCGTGAAGCGTCAGACAGTGACCCGTGTAAAAAGGATGTTCTTCGTGGAGTTGACCATTTTGTTGGGAACCTACCGAACAAGTCGGGACTGTACGAGGCCCGAACTGGGCACACGATTTCAGCGGATTTCCATGGGACAACAACGGCACCTTTACTTGTGTTTTTATGTGTTTCCCTTTTTGGCGAATCTCGGGAAATCCTGTCGAAGGAAACCAAGAAACAAGACAACTATAAACCCTCGAACCCCCCTCTGGTAGTTGCTCTCCCCTCAACAAGAAACAAGGGAGAGTGCGAACCACCCCCAGAAAGTTACCAGGATCTGCGGGGATGGACGGTCTGTGCCCATATTTTTCATTCCCATGACTACTCAAGGATCCTTACATTATACACCTGAACATTGCTTTGTAAATGGCGGTTTCCCTTTATTTGGGTGTTGAAAAAGCAACATCTTTCAAATGGTTGCAACACGGAGATCTTTTCAGGAGCCCTGCGAAATCTCACGTAGCCCTTGGCTCACGAAACCCAAACCTCCCACCAGCTTTCGCATCGGAGCTGGAGGGAGTTCAAGTTGGAAACTGAGTCCTCGGCTTCACCCAGCCGGAGTCACCATGGGACGCCGCGGGGGGGGGGGGAGTTGGGAGTTGGGAGGGGGGGGGGGGGCTGGAATGTTGGGCCCCTGTTGAGGGCTCAAGCGAAGGAGAAGGACGTCAAATCTTTTCCCCTCCCCAAGTAGAGGGAGCGAGTACATCTCATTTCCAGGGTGTTTCAAGCAGACGCAAACGAAACATATGGTGGCTGGACAATCTAAACTTTGACCATCCACAACATCTCCACAGCGCAAACGCATTCAGGATGTACTTCTCGTCAAAGGAGAACACACATACTCATTTTTTTCAAGGAAACTCATCACACTATGGACGGCCAAAATGACGCACGATTGGGTAAGTGGCATTTCCCAGTATTCATACGGTTTCATCCAACCCAACCGCTCCGCTTTGTGTATTTTGTTCATATTCACAGTATGGTCTGTTCACCACTAGATCCAAGGATCCAGGATGGTCCTTGAAATCTTCTCCTCCGTCAGCTTCTTCATCTCCTTCACCCTGTCCGCTTTCAATCACTCAGCGCCGCGCTGGTCCCTGCGAAAAGTTAAGAGCTAAACTGTGGTGGGATAATGTGGCAAATGCACATTGCCAGAACAAGAGTTACGCCTCTTGGGCCTTCTTGAAAACCACAGCCCTTTCGCTCTAAAGCGGGTGATCATTGTTGATCCCACTTCTGGCACACAAAACGGATTGATCCGCACGGCTTTCCAGAAACTAGCGAGGGGCATAAACGTTTGTCCTGATTTGTGTTCTTTTTGTTTCATATCTATATACATACATAAGGTCTCCATGATCTACCTTTTTCTCTTTTTAAAGCCCTCCCCAGGCATATTTAATGCCAGACTGCCTGGTGTGGTGTCGCGGTTGCTATGAGTTGAAGGCCGATGTTCAAGATACGGAAATGTGCTTTGCAGAGCGCCCTTTTTGTGGCTTAAAGTCGGACACCAATAACGACAAATCACAACTCCTTGGGGTCAAAAAAACATATTTGGGCCTTGTTGAGCCCAATCTTTGGGCCCAACCCCGCTTTTGCGGGCCATACCCAGGGTTCCACGAGTTGAGTCACAATGAAAACCCGGTACTAAAATGGTCTACCCAGAACCATGCTTCAGGAATTAAGAAGGCGGATATTCGCAGCATCAATCCCCGGGTTTTGAGCACGTGGCTCACGTGACCTGTTCCCCTTCGATCCGCCAAACATCCAACACATTTTTAGTGGAATTGAGTGACACCTACATGAAAAAAAACCTGCCTGCAAACCTAAGAACATGGCTGGGAACCACCAAGGTGTGTCCAAACTGGGGGACCGACCCCCGCAAAAAAGCGGGCCATACCCCAGGCCCGTGGCGCCTCTTGGCTCGCCGCTGCAGCGTGATGATCACGTTGACCCCGAGGCCCACGCCCAGCAGCGCCGTCATCGGGAGCCTCGGCGCAAGTTTGCCGGGGCCTCGCTTTGAGTCACACGCCCAAACAATACGGCGGGTCCTCCAGTAGAATAAGGGTACCCGATTTTTCTGTAGTCTATGGTCCAGTAGAGAGGTTAGAATAAGATGGTACCAACTATTTTTCTGTAGTCTATTTTAGTGTTTAGAATAAGGGTGCCCGATTTTTTGCTGTAGTCTATGGTCCAGTAGAGAGGTTAGAACAAAATGGTACCAACTTTTTCTGTAGTCGTTTTTAGTGGTTAGAACAAGAGTACCCGATTTTTGTGTGTAGTCTATGGTCCAGTAGAGAGGTTAGAATAAGATGGTACCAACCTTTTTCTGTAGTCTTTTTTCGTGGTTAGAATAAGGGTGCCCAATTTCTTTCTGTAGTCTATAGTCCAGTAGAGAGGTGAGAATAAGATGGTACCAACTGTTTTTCTGTAGTCTATTTTAGTGGTTAGAATAAGGGTACCCTATTCTTTTCTGTAGTCTATGGTCCAGTAGAGAGGTTAGAATAAGATGGTACCAACTATTTTTCTAAAATTTATTTTAGTGGTTAGAATACGGATACCCGATTATTTTCTGTAGTCTGTGGTCTAGTAGAGAGGATAGAATAAGATGGTACCAACTTTTTTCTGTAGTCTATTTTAGTGTTTAGAATAAGGGTGCCCGATGTTTTTCTGTAGTCTATTTTAGTAAGGGAACCCTCCCACTAAAAAGGTCAAGTAAGAGAGGTTAGAATAAAGGTACCCGATGTTTTTTTTTGTAGTCTATGTCCTATTTTGGTAGGGGAACCCTCCCCCCAAAAAAGGGTAAAAGGGCACTACTGGGGGACCTAGAATAGATGTGGAAGCCAATACCGGGATGGATCCGTGTGTCTGTGCGCCTTGGTGCGCCTTGTGTGTTTGCGTGACATATAGCGGTTCTACCCTGCGGCACGACTACTGACATTTGGGACGCCAACCACCAGCGTTCGTGGCTGTGGCCAAAAGTTGGAAGGGCGACACCCCGGCTTCTAATGTCTTTATTCTGGGCAGATTTTCACTGGGCCTAAGCCAGCTACCTGATGTTTCAGGTGCAAGTTCCACCCGAAAACAGCTTGCCAGCTCCAGAAAATCGTCGGCTACCCCCCCGATCGGCTAAACTAGAAGCCACCAGGGAACCCAAGAGGAGTCAGAAGTCTTCTATGGGTATTGCTTTTGGGACTTGACAAAACACAAGCAAACGAGGATAACCTGACTTCCTCAGGGCCCTCACAAGAAATTCCCACCAGCAATTCTGATTGGAGCACCCCAGAAAACACAGAAGGCATGAGCACCACGAGATTCAAGAAGAAGCAGGAGCAGCAAAAGGCATCGTTTCTTAGATCAAGCGGCACCAGCAGGAGTTGGCGCCAGAAGTCGTCGGACACTACAGGCCATCCGCCCATAGGAGCAACTTTCAGGAGATACTCAAAGCCGTACTCCTCCAGGCCGACAGTCACCTGCCGATGCCATTTGAAATCCCAAGCTTCATCATACTGTGGATGGACAAAATCCGCTCGCACTACTTGGAAACCATGGGACTTCATTCTTTGTTGGTATTTGCGGGGCAATCATCCTTCCAGGGTCTCTGAGGTGGTGCAGGATTACGTCCATCCACAGTATGAACTTGCACCCCCGGCAATCTCTGCTTCTTAGCGTCAGGTAGCTCTTGGGATGCACCCAATGCGTTGAACCCCAGGTTGGATGATTGCGCCCCTGGGGTTCAGGAGAACTAAGTAACCATCCGCGGAAACCTCCATCTAGCAAAGATGCTGGTAAACATCAAGGCTTCAATTCAAGGTTCCCCGTATTGTCTTGCCTGCGAGCAGATTGTGCATCTTTCATGATACCATTTGCGATACCTGCATATAGAAAAAAAACATACCATCGAATGCGCATATCTATACATACCCATGACAAACATATGTCCGAATGCGATCTATACCCTCCCACCCACTTACATGGATGCCACAGGCCTGCAGAACAAAGGAAACCGATCTTTGAGGGGAAGGGTAGCAAAGTCGTGCTATGCCTCTTACATTGATCTACTCCAACACCATACAGCATTAGCAAGTGTGTCCCTTTTGGTCAGTGGATTCCAGCAAGAGCCATATCACATGTGCCTATAGAAATATGGATGTGTATATATATATATATTATATAACATGGAAGTGTGTGTATATATTCGTGTACATGAACAATTAGGTGTATGTAAACATTGTTGTACTAATTTATGTATCTATATCTATATATATATATACACACGCATGCATACGCATGTGATACTGACATAAATACACATGTATGACAGACAGCAAATAGACATACCATTTACGTGCATACATACAGAGAGAGCGAGTACATGCAACCACTATAATACAATCCTGTGCACGTGTATATAGAATATGTATATATATATATATAAATATAAATATAATTCCATTTCAACACATCACAGATCTATCACTCTCGCAGGTCTGACCTCCACGGGCTGAATGAGCGGCTCGGGGTCGCTGGACCGCTGCCAAGTCAGGCGCTGGCCGTTCACCTCGCTGGACAGCTCGTAGGCGAACCTCGCGTTTTTGGCTTTCCGGCGCGGCGAACTGCGAACGCGGGGCCTGGGATGTGGGGTGGCCAACCTTTCGAGGGGAAACGCATCCCAACTCCCAACAGCAACTTGGGGTTGGGGTTGCCAGTTTTTGGGTACGGGGGCACATCCACACAGCAACTTGATACTCGGGTTCCGATACTTGCTCACTGAAGGCTCCGAGCGCCAATTCTTGTAAATCCATCTGGATAGTGGAGCTCCTTGGTTCATCCAAAGGGGACTGTGCAGCAATATCCGGATTGCTGGCTTCCGCCCGTTCCCGCACCTCTGTGTCAGAAGGAGGAGCTCCATTTTAAGAAACTTTGAAAAGGGGCCAACATGACAAGAATCAGTGGAACGGGGGGGGGGTAGTGGCAGAAACGTTGGGTGCATGTGCGCCACTGCCACTGAAATGCTCCCCAAAAGCTTAAAGTCCAGGAACTCAAGGAGTGCAAAACTGCAAAGGAAACCAATGGTCGCGTCACCTTTCAAGACGATTTGCGCAAAACGGGTCGCAAATCAAACCCTTTGCGTCGCAGTACTTTGCCCAGACAAATATGGTGTTGCCTTCAAAATGGGGAAGCCCCAAATTGCGCATGCCTTTTGGCTTCCTTTAAATGGCTCATCCCATGTCTTACCCATACGGACGCACGAACCAGGATACGTCGGGCAAACCTCCTTTGAGTCGCCTTTCAAGCTTGATCAACATGAGAAAGCCCAACTTTCAGATGTTGATGCTTCCCTAAGAACATGTTCGCGGATCAACCTTTTCTGTGACCACTTTGTCACTTCAAAGGGAACACCCTTGCTCGCACACTGAAAGTGGCCCTACAACCACAAGTTTCCCCAGAAATCTTGGGCGTACCTTGCCAACTTCCCAAGGCCTCTATGGCTTTCAAGGCTGTTCGGGTCAATGGGCAATGGACTACTTGGGTGTGTCTTATTTAAGGGGACCCCCTGGATTCCTTTTAAAGCTACCCCTCCCTAAAACGAGACACCCCACTTCGACCGAATGATTCGCCGATTCGCCTGGAGACGCCGGCGACCCGGTGCGCGCCATTCTCCAGACCCTTCAAGTTCACTACCTGCCAATGAGGCGATCACTCCCTTTGGCAATCCTCAGCTTCAAGCCAAAACATGTCTCTACCAGGCATATATCCGTGTCGAAGCCAGCATGGCTCCAGATCATTGACTCCGGCCCATATTTCGTGAAGCCCAAAAGACAATTTAAGTCCAATCGAGATTCCAGAATCACTCCTTTCCGGGTTGTCGGACCCAGCATTCCCAATGAAAAGAACGAGGCGACGGAAAGGCTCATGTAGGCAACCACATGGGCCTCTTGTTGCCGCTGATGTTGCATACAAGGCAACAAAGAAGTCCACCCCACAATTGGAGGCGGATGTCCCACTTTTGGCTGGATAAGATCACACACCTCTCGCACCGAAGCTGACAGGAGGGCTTTGGAACATTCCATTTGGGGAGGCTCCCAGTCCACCTCCATTGGAAGTGCGATGCTGCCCTTTGGCCACAGTTTCTTAGGTCCACCTGCTTTTAAACGGCTGGTTCGACATGTCACCAGAGGGTGCAAGAAAAAACATGCTGGTAGAGAATTTGTGACCCTTGCACATGGTCCTTGAAAGGAAGCACAGCATGCCTGTGGGTCAAAAAGTAGGGTAACCCCAAAATGGCACCCTGGTAAATTCAAACAATGACTAAAACCTGTGGTCCATATCCTCGTGGTTTAGTTTTGACCCATGCCCACATGAGGGCTTTGGACATGCGCCATTTGTCCAGCTCCGCCTTCCCCACCTCTCCGGTTGACTGCTCTCCGTGGCACATGTGATCGAGCAAAACAAAACTTGGTGGCGAAGCCAGCCATCCGGTTCCTTCGCTGTTTAGACTTTTAGTGTTTAGTGGGGGTTTCCATTTGACCAACTAGAAGTTAAACTTTAAGCAGGGGATCTGAGAGCAACCCAGAAAAGAAGTCTTTCTAGCAGCGTGTTTTGCCGTCGGATTGTGATTCATGGCATTTCACCAGACATCCCCAAACATGCAACCCATCCCATCCATACGAACACGGTTCTTTAATGTTCACAATAAAGGGGCTTTCCTAGGACGGAAGTAGGTCGGGGTTCCAAAACCCCACCATGCATGTGAGCCAGCGGCAAACCCAAATTTGGAGAAGCTCAAGGCTGATATCCTCACAAAGATTCATCGTTTTTCCAAATAGAAGGATGGAAGGGTCGGCCTTCATGGTCGCTTCCATCTTTTTAGGAGTTGGGTAAACCGACCCCTGTATTTCCTTAAAATCACACTTGTCCGGGCTGGTCTCCGCAGAACATTGAACTGCTTGCTAGGCCCACAAGTTCATGTCCAACACGAGGCTCAAGGTCAAACTTTGCGACGAATACTTCTATGTAAGGAACCTGAAAGGAATTGGTATATGTACCGTGATCAAAGCTCCTCACGCAGGCCATGGTCATAATTCCCTCAATGAGAGCCCTTACATTGCGTTGTCTCAAATCCCGAAGGGTTCGACCATCCCTACGCACGCCAAGAAACAACAAGTTTTGACCATATCGCAGGTGTCGCTCTTGTTGGAGCTACCCTCCCCAGACCATCAGTCGATTTCCATGGGAAACGAGGAGGGCCTTTCTTTTTTACTGTTGACAGGTGCACTGGCTGTTCACACATGGTTTGGTCTGAAAATAGGCGTGCCCCAAAATCCTTGGTTCCTTTTGGCTTCCCTTTGAACACCAACCAAAACGTTGAGAGACCGTTACTCTAGGGATAACTTCCCCATTCTTCCAGGGATCCTTCTTTCTAGAAAACCACCAAAAACCCTGGGGAAATGGCTGGTTTTTGAAAAGAACGATGGCTGCAAAGAATGGAAAAGGAATCAACACCTAGAGTTACACTGGGGAGTCCCTTCAAAGACGCCGCTTGGCGTCTAACTGAAGGCCCCACTCGCCTGCAGGATGTCCTCAAGGCGGCTCAGCGATAGCCCGAAGCCCCAGAAGAAGCTGGGCTGCCCGCCCAGCTCCGGACCTGGCGAGCGGATCCTTCAGGCATCAAAAGGCAAATGGTCTATCCAAAGTCCCAACTATGTACCCCTGGGCAGGTGCACCTGCAAAATACCACAGAAGCTTAAATACACTATGGGTACATACATGGTATATAGCCATCTTTTCCAGCAGGGTGCCAGGGGTACCTGCCCAGCACCACGTGGCTTCGATCCCAGAGTTTAGCGTTGGGTACCCTCCCTCCCACTAACATAGCACCTATGGGGAGGTGGTAGATGAATTTCATTTTGAAGGGACCCCCTGTCAGGTGCCATGTTAGTGGGAGGCAGGGTGATTAAGAATAAGTATTGGCAAGATTGAAAGTCGGCTGGGAGGGCGTTTATTATTAGGGGAAGGTTTCTGAATAGGAAGAAGGGATTACCCAGAAGTATTGGTGCAATGAATCACCTTCTATGGAGCCATGTGGATGGATGAATTCCATTTCGCACGAAATGAACCCACGGTTGAAACCACCCTGTTTCTCGGCATTGACAGGGAATCACATCATTCCAGGGTTTCTTAGCAGGTGCGAAACGGATTTTGCCCTTGCACAGTATGCGCGTTAAAATAGTGGACCACTAATATGAACTCGGAGTTTGCCCCGTGGCTTCACTTTGAAACTGACCCAGAAACGGCACACTGCACACCCTCATTGTGACATTCCTGTCGTATGAGTTTCTCATGTATGCCATATCTCAAACATATGACCGGATAATTTGTACATTGCAGTCTGAGGATATGTGACAAATGGCACAATTCCCTTTCTCGGTTCCTTACATATGCCCTGTTTAAACATCATCCTTCCAACCGGAAGCCCGCCAACAATTACACCTCTAAAGGAGAAACACGCGCACTACTCATTTGGGTTCCTTATACTGTGGATAGACAACATCCACCGCGCATTTGTTGATGACTTGTGCTGTGGACAAACGAAGCCTATCTCAGTCCACCACATTCTAAAACAATGATCTCCGCATCCAACACAGCCGCCACACATTGGTCAGTAACATAAGAAACGATTGCTTCATCGACCATACCTGCTCGGCTTTGCCAATCTTGCTCCGGGAAACCTCTGTAAAGGGGACCATGCTTTTGGGTGTGTCTTAGAATACCGGAACCCCACCATAGATTTTGCTTTTCCCATTGGCCTCCCTTTCGAGCATCACCAGAAAGGTTGCCCCCGAAAGCAAGACAGACACACACACTTTACAGGATCTTGTGGATTGAACTGAAAATATTCGCCACATGTGCACCCTAACCAGTGGGTAGCAGTTCTGAAGCCCAGGGGTCGCCTCCGGAAGGGCAAGCCCCTTAGTCGAACTGGGGTAGCCGCTTAGCAAATTCCATTCCAGGAATTCAAGTTTGAAGGGGGGGGATACCGGGATACGCGGAAATTGCCTGCCTGGAAAATGGCAGAGCTCGGTGCTTTGTGCTGAGCAGTTCCTTGTGTAGTTCACGCCGCCAAAGACCTCGCCGAAACGCCCACAGTGACTCTTTGCCCCAAATGGGTAGGTCTGTTTCTTGAAGGAACCTTTTTTGGGAAAGGAATATCACAATTTCAAGTGTTTCCCTATTTTGAGACGCACCCAAATCGGTGTCGGTCGATCTTACTGGGAAGCCCACCAAACAGAAAGGGATTTTACAGGTGCCACTGAACAACTGGGTTCCCCAAATCGGTCAATTCATAGGGGCATGGGGACACCTCAGCGCCTCCATTTGCATGTCGACTATCCTGCAGGGGCCACTCTACTATTTCCATGAGGTTGTGAGGTACCTTGGCACCACAATTAGCCATGATCGTAAGCAAGCAATGTGTCTAAATATTTAGCCCCGTACATTCATAGTATTTCTATATATATACATGTGAATTTGGCCACGCCCCACGCTTCACCCGACATCGGCGATCAAGTTCGAGAGATACGAGCGAGCGATGCATCTGAAAACCAAGGCAGATCTGTGATGTCGTCGGGCTCTGCAGCCAAATCATAGATCAAATAGAAGGGTTTGCAGTTGCAAAACTCATCCATCCAGGGTGGCAGCGGGATCTGGGCCTGAACACTGCATCCGTGTCCAAAGCACATTCAAAGCATGTGAATTTGGCCATTTCCTGCACTTCACCCGACATCGCCCCCTTTTCCAAGCACAGTTGGCCGGCGATCAAGTTCGAGAGATACGAGCGAGCGATGCATCTGAAAACCAAGCCAGATCTGTGATGTCGTAGGGTTCTGCAGCCAAAACATAGATCAAATAGAAGGGTTTGCAGTTGCAAAACTCATCCACTCATAACCAAGGGCCAGCAGCGGTTCGGAGAGTAGCTGCGCGCAAGCGCTTCGCCCGCTCAATGCTTGGAGATGGATAGGTAAAACGGATACACATCGGCAAAGATACAAATCAAACGTTTGGCGGCAACAGGCATGTCAACCATGGTAATCTGAGTCGAAATCTCCTGCAAATAATGCTGCAATGTTTCCACGTTTTTCAACCTGAGCACCCACATGATGTCCAGGATGGGAATGCCCTGTCTGTAAAGCTGAACCGTCCCACAGCCCTCAATCCAGCAGGAGTAAGCTCAAAGCTGCCAGGCACGCCCAAACCAAATGGCAGTTTGTTCCGCCGCGTACGAAAGGCTCCAGCGGAGCCCGGATATAAGGGCTGGCTTGACTTGGCATCGCCATACATCCGATCCAAAAAGGCAATCACTGCAGAATCCAGGACTTTCGCGTGCTGGACCCTTCCTCTTCTGCCAGGTTTTGGCTTTGAAATGCGAAGAAAACATGGCCCGGCAATCTGCTCCAAATCACGAGGAAGCAGCAAATGCCCCCGCAAAGCGCACAGTACTTCGCCAGGTCTACAGCAACCATGGAAACAAATCAAAATGACCAAAGCAACTCTGAACCATTCCCACATCAAGGCTAGAGAGACCATGGCTTTCACAAGCCTAGCAGGCAAGGGTCGCCTGTGCGTCACTGGCTGCAGCTCTTCCCAACGGGTGATTACCTGCCAGGCGGGCTGTAGGTGACCCTTAAGCCCAGGGTGCGCTCGCTGAGCATAAACGACAAGATGGCGAAAGGAGGACAAAGGCTTGCCGCACTCATACGCATGCCTTCCATACTGGCCCATCATAGCACCTATCAACCCCGGCACAAGCCAAAGGCTGTTAAGCACGTCGCTTCCTAAAGTGCAAACGAGCCACTGAAGAAAATCGGCCCAAGCGGTCGTACCCATCATCTCTGTTTCCGGCCGGATCAACTCGACCTGGTCCAGCGCGCGCACATTTCTTGAGGCGGACCTTCTAGGCCCAGGGTTCTTAGCCTCGCCAATACGCCGATGTTGCTCTCCACACGCCAGCGAACAATTAGACTGCCCAGGCCAATAGGAAGCACAGCCCTTTGGGATATGGATCGGCAAGCTTCGTCATCGCGATCTTGCTCTTCTTCGACCGACCTCTCAAAACTGTATGGGCGTGATCCCGAACGCACAATCTTTTTGTGAATCCAAGCCTGCCAGAAGTGACAAAACGGGTTCGTTTCGTCCAGGGAGCGCTAAAAGTGCAATCTCTACCTTGTAAAATCTTTTGCCAGCCTCACGTGGGAGGCCTAGCCACTCTGGCTGCCTCCATATGTAGCTTGAGTCTGGGTTCTCCACCCAGTACTGCGCGCGCAACTGTATGCATAGCGTTATCAGTCCAGCCAGAAACAAAGAATGAGAATTCCCGTTCAAAATCCTTTGCTCCATGCTGTCGCAGAAGCTTTGCGAATCTTTGATCTCACGGACAAGTCAAGCAGATCGCATTGCGCCCCATCAATGATATCAACAGCCAAAACCCAAGGGGCGCCCAATTTAACAGCCGCTTTGGCAAAACCTCTGCGGCCAGAATACAAGTCAAGGAAACCGGGCTTGCAGGGAGGCCATGTTTCGCCGCTTGCAAGAATGAATTGCTCTTTGCCGAAACTCAAAAGGGCATCTAGAATGTCCTGCGTCCAAGGAGAAGCTGTGTAAGGACCATTATCCCCGATTGAAGCTTTGTTGTTGGCTCTCAATGCCAGCATTGCCTTGATCCTGTTGTGATACTTCCGAGCACGGGACCTCTGCAAATCTGGCTCAACGAAAGCGGGGTTTTTCAAGTTAACCTCAGCCAACGGAGAAAAACCTGTTTCGTTGCTCTGTTTTGTTTTCGCCGTCGTATGATGAGCCTTCTAGATAAGGTGTATTCTGTGCAAAATGGCCAAAGCAGGGAGAAGGTGCTGCGTCTGCCTGTCGCCGTCGTGGACAAATTGTGGTCACTTGTGATCTTGTGTCCTCTCGCGGTTACGGATTTACGCGCTGGGTTCTTTGATGAAGTCTTCATGGTGGATTCCTCAAACTGGGGAGACGCAGTTGTGGTGGCTCCTGTTGCCGGTGGTATGCGGTCAGAGATACACCGTCACTGCTTGCACAAAGGCTGCTGGACGCGTCTGCTGAGCCCGTTCAAAGCGCTTCTGCGCGGCAAGGGCTGCTTGGAGGCTGGTGATGAGCTGCCTGATGGGGAGGTCGCTTAGTGAGCATCCGGTTTGGGAGTCTGCTGCCAGATGTTTGCAGTACAAGTTGGTTTGGAAGAGGCGCGCGAAGCAGGGACGCCACATCAACATCGGGGAGCTGCGTGCGTATCTCAAAGCTGAGGCCCTAGCTGGAAACAGTCTGTGCGACGTTCGGGTTGCAATTCCATGAGTCTCGCCTACTTATAACATCACTTATAAGTTCCGCAACAGCAGTTATAAGACCCGCAACAGAAGTTATAAATGCCATAAGTACCATAAGTTCTTGAAAAGTTAGCATACTTACGGCGGGACTTATAAGTGACATAGGCTTTTTTTATGTGGGACATACTTAGCAAACTTACAAACTACTTACGCTACTTAAGATTTTTGTTTGTTTTCAAGGGTCCTCCCGGCACTGGAACGTTGTGTTTTTTAAGGAAGTGGACGCAGCACAGAGCGAAGCGAAACCCTTCTTGTTGCGAAAAGAGAGATATATACATGCATGGCGCGACGCGGGTCCAGAGCGCAGGCTTGACCAGGTCCTCTCTTCCCTTCATCTGGGGTCATCTTTTGAAAATCGAGGAAGCCACGCAAGAGTTGCTGCGTGCCTTGCAACCTTGCAAGGCACTTTCGATGGGGACGCAAGCGCGCTGGGGATGGGGGGAGGGCGGGGCTGGGAGGGGGGGGGTGAGGCCCACTGCCCCAGGTGCCTATCCCCGAAGGGAACTGGTACGCTGTGGTAGTAGAGGTCGTTGTGTTGGTCCCTGGATCTATTCCGGAGAGAATCCAATATGCCACTGTGGATGATTGGAGGATGGATTGTCCCTGGTGGGTTGTCTTGTGGATAATCCTGTAAGCGGCCTGCTAAGGTTCTTTTGCTTCACGCGATCATGAATGATGCAATGATATACAAAAGGGCCTTGAGCCAAATGTTGCGGGAGATCAATTGGTCTGAGAACCAAACACAAAACAGACACAAATTTCTTTTGATCTCCAGCACTAAGTATGAAATACTATTGGCTTCATGGCCTTTGGCCGTAGCCTTGATGTATGCCGTAGCCATGTGTATTAAAATGCCGGATTCATCCTCTTTTCTGCTCGGATGAAATGTCTTGGCTTTCGAAATGGAAAACACTATGTACTGCTTCTTTTTTGAAATGCCTAGATGTATCAAAGGGTGATGTACAACGCTATGTACACGCGGGACGATTGTGATCATATCCTGATCCACACTTCATGTGCAGGTGATGACGGACAATGGATTTTAGGGCGCACGAAGTCTCCATTGCATACTCCATTCTGTCCACGAGTGGCAAATCTTTCGTTTCATTCCACAGTCTCTGATATGCTCTCATGAGGATGTTCACGAGACCGTTGGCCGGATTGAAGACGTGCTGAAGTTTGCTGTAGGTGTTCGCTGATTTGTTGGCGTCTCCGGTGATCGCATCGCATCGGTACAAAGTCACGCGCGGCATGATTTCATTTTGAAGATCTTCCCTTGCTGCTCCATGGCTAATTGAAGGATGGATGTGGAAAACTCCAATGGTAGCGAATGGGAGATCTGCCCTCGTTATGTGGCGGTCGTCATACTCGTGGAGTGATTTGTTGGATGATTTCGGGATCATGCCACGAAACTCATCACTCTGCTCGATATGGAGAACGACGATCTCCTTGTCTCGGCCATGTCCTTGGACAATGGTGCGTGTTGGCAATCTCGGTCCAATGTACTTCTTGGATTCAGTAAACATGGATGGTCCTGTGGTTGCCAAGCAATCCGAGGTCGGAATTTCGTATTCGGGATCAGTGCAACTTCCTTCAGTTCCGAAGAAACATCTGAACATTCCGAATAAACTTCCCCAATTCTGGCTCTTGGTGGAAATGTGTCTTGCCAGAAGTTCCACTCTTGCAGAAGGTCCGCCACGGACAAAGCATGCGATCGGTCTGGATGACCA